AGGGGAAAAGAGAAAAGGAAAAAATATTCTCAAGTAGTACTCATCTTTCCTACTGCTTTCTGGAGAAGACCTGAAGTTACCATATTTGTCACGTGTGGGAATAAGATACAAAGACTTTAAAGACAAAACAGTTAAGAAAAGTTCTTGGTAACCTCTGTACCCAATCTAGACAAGTTATAGATTCTGTCAGTGTTGTTGATCAGTCTTGAAGAAATCCCAGCTTGTGAAACACCTGAAAAGGCTAGCAGGTGGCATAACTTTAGGAAAGTTTTCTGTCAGTCTTCCTGAAATTATTAAGTGCCCTCAAGGGTTTGTAACTGAGTTTTATACGTGGAGTGTTTCCCAGGTTCTTGAAACATGGTGAGAGCTCAGTAACTCCACGTGCTGATGGACAGGGGAGTTGTCCTAGTATTTAGCACAGAAATACAACTTGAAAATATGTAATGCAAAATTTTTTAATTTATGATTGGATAAGTGAAAGTTGTGCTTGGAGAGCATGTGGCGTATGATCTAACGCTGTCCCCTCTTGTCCAAGTACTCCTCCCTTGGGGTTTAGTCATGGGGTGCTGGAGGCAGAGTTTTTTCATCTGAAGGAGGGAGGTCCCAGCTCTAGATCTTGCTTTCCTAGTTGATTTGCTGGTTGACTTTCAGTGCAACTTGTTTTATCAGGTTCTTTTATTCTGGCAGAAATGAATAGCTAGGTAGAAGGTGATAACTCTTATTAATTTTGAGGCTGCTTGTTTGCTGTATCTTGTTTTTTCTTAATATTGTCCTAACATTTGCTATGTTGGTTTTTCTTTCTGTGGGTATTCTTTCTGTTTTAACCCTCCCAGTGTGTATGAAACTTTGCAGAATAAGAGACTTGCTGTATCAAGTCACAGCTCTTTCAGAATTAAACAGAGTATGAACAGGGTATCTAATGACTGGTGAAAATTATCAGTGCTTGATTACTGAAACACTCTACAGACTCCGCAGTCCTCAACCTTTCAGCCTTCAGCCCTTTGCTATGATGTGTCCCACTGAGATGTGATCTTGTGTTGGATTCAGCTTACGCTTGCAGTTTACAGTTCAAGAGATTACTGCGTACTCCTTGGAAGCGTGGTATTCAGTTCAACTTGCATCGTCATGACTCAGCGCTGTGTGGTAGAAACATGAGTGCTACAGTGAATGTTTTTGAGCTTAGGGGGTCAAACCCTGGAAAATAGCAATTGATTTGGTTGATCTTTATGGTGGATTAGTATGCCTTTCCTAGATTAGCATGTCCAGTTGTGTTTATATCTCTCTGTGAACACACATAAACTAAAAACAGTTTGTCTGTTAACATCCTTTCTAAAATAAGCCACGTGATAGCTCTCGGTTAATTTTTATTTGTAGTTTTTACACCACTTGTTTGCTCTTCAAAAAAAAAAAAAAAAGCAAGCATCAGTTGTCATTGCAAAGCAAAGAGTGTTTTCTAGCCATTTTGAAAAAGAACTGAATTTAAAAACTTTGAAACAAAACTCGGTGTTGGGCTTGAGGAGGAAGGGATGATTCACTAGTACCTAGGAATCAGGCTGTCTCCTTAGCCTGATGCAGTGAGAGAAGCTCAGATATAAGGTGATACAGGTGCCTACCTGGAGCCCTCCAATTAAGAGCTGTATTCGTTAAAGTACCTCTGTGTTAAATTAGACTGTTCAGCTAACTTCACGTGTGATAGTTTAATGTTTGAGAATGGAAATGCTTCAAGTGACTGAGTTCCCGCGTCTTAATTTATTTTCATCTGTGATGTATTATTAAGAAGCTACTAATTCAACTGCTTTTCATTAAAGGGAAAAATGTATTTTCTTTATATCTAATTAGGAATAGTATTTATGTGATGCTTTTATTTGAATTATGTAGGACTTTAATTTTTCTCCAAATACGCTCAAGAGAAGTTACGTATGATTCAGGTTTTGTTCTAGATTGTTTTGGTATTCAATTTAGCACTGCTTTTTAAGAGGAATGGAAAGAACTGTGATCCTGGTCTTCTGTAGAAGACTGGTAATGCATGTTTTTCTTGTTTCTCAGCATAGTCCCATAGCAGTCTAAGCCAATTTTTAACACTGTTTAGAAAATATAATGAACATGATACAACTTCCTAACTGTTACAGAGAGTTGCATGTGTAATAGTAAGTGACAGCAGAATTATTCATTTGCTTAAGCATGTGTTCATGCAGTTAAGCAAGTCTGAACTGCAGTCTGAGGGGAGATCATTTAAAAAAAGAAAAGGAAATGTTGGCGATCATTCAAAACAATAAAATTTGAGCATCGGCTACACAGCTTATATTAAAATAGATGAAACCAAATGATTGAATAAAAATGCATTATTTCAGTCTTACTGGTGTTGTAAACATGATTGCTCTGTTTTTAACCTGGTCTAGAAAAAACAGAAGCCTGAATTCACTCGTTCAGGAAACTTTTGAATCGGTGCACAAAGTGTAAACCCCTGCTAAATTCCTATTAAAGGAAAGTACCTTATGCACAAATTGACTTGATAAGTATGAATACATGATAAAGCGCTCTGCTGAATTAGAACCACCAACACAAGCAGAAGCAACATTGCTTTTTATATGTTTAAAATGGTAAAGTAGCCTGAACAACTGAAAATTATCACTTGAAGAGGTAAATTCAAATAATAATTTAAAATATAAAGAAATAAGAATGTTTAATAGAAGTTAAAGTATTAAGAAATGAAGGTCAGGTCTTACAGTCCACACTTACAGAAACTTCAGGTCCTGCTGAGTTCATTATGAATAAGCATGTCAAAATCTGTCTGTAAGTTATATTTTCCTCTAGCAGGAAAACCTCAGTAAAAATTGGGAGAACTTTCTTCATGCAGTCAGTAGTTTTGAAGAGAGAGTTGCAGATTTATTTTTATGAATAAATATGCCAATATGCAATTAGATTTTTTTTTTAAATGAAATTATATTAAAGATTCTGTGAAAAGGTTCTAGAGAATGTGGGCCTGCTGCTGAATGGGGATGATCACAAAGACCAAGGAGAGGCTAAGGTGATGAATGCTTTTTTTGCCTCAGTCTTTGCTGATAAGACCAGCCTTCAGCAGTCCCAGGTCCTTGAAACCAGTGAGAAAGCCCAGGGGAACGCAGACTTACCCTTGGTGGAGAAGGAGCAGGTTAGGGAATATTTAAACAAACTGGATGTACAAAGGTTCATGGGCCATGATGGGATGCAGCCACAAGTACTGAGGTAGTTGGCTGGTGTCATTGCAAGGACACTGTCAATTTTTGAAAAGTCATGGTGACTGGGGGAGCTTCTTGAGGACTATAAGAAAGCAAACATTACCCCTGTCTTCAAGAAAGGCAGGAAGGAGGATCTGGGGAACAAAAGGCCTGTCAGCCTCATATTGATCATATTAATATTGATAAATATTATAAATATATACATCGATATGATAAACATGGAAGGTGATGGAACAAATAAATGTGGAAACCATCTCCAAATATAGAAGGCCAAGACGGTGACTAGGAGTACTCAAGCATGGATTTGTGAAGGGGAAATCATCTGACCTGATAACCTTCTATGATGAGTAGAAGGCTTGGTGGATGTTCTTTATCTTAAGTAAAGCTTTTGACACTGTCTTCCACAACATCCTCACTGACAAACTGATGAAGTAAAGAACTAGTTAAGTGGACTGCAAGGTGGATTGAAAATCAAGCAAGTTCACAGACGATGTGAAACAGGGAGGAGTGGTTGATAGACCAGATGGGCATGCTGCCATTTAAGGACCTCGACAGGCTGGAGAAATGGGCTGACAGGAACCTCATGAGGTTCAACAAAGGGAAATGTCAAGTCCTCTACCTGGGGAGGAATAAATGCAGACACCCACACATGCTGGGGGCCTACCGGCTGGAAAGCAACTTTTCAGAGAAGGTCCTGGGAGTCTTGGTGGACAAGATGCTGTGAAGATGAATGTGAGCCAGCAATGTGCCCTTGTGACAAAGACAAACATCATCCTGGGCTGCATTAGGCAGTGCATTGTCAGCAGGTCAAGGGAGGTGATCTTTCCTCTCTACTCAGCACTGGTGAGACACATCTGGAGTCCTGGGTCCAGTTCTGGGCTCCCCAGTACAAGAAGACATGGACATACTGAGTGATTACTGTAAAGGGCCATGAAGATGATGAAGGGAGCGGAGCATCTGACAAACGAGGAGAGGCTGAGAGAGCTGGGACTGTTCAGCCTGGAGATGGAGAAGAGAAGACAGAGAACGCTCGGGGGTGGGGGGGTATGATGTATGTATGAATACCTGACGAGGGTGCAAAGGAGAACCACCAGATCTTCCTTAGTGGTATCCAGTGACAGGATGAATGGAAATGGACACAAATTGAAATACAAGAAATTCATTTAAGCATAAGGAAAAAAAAAACCCCAAACCTTTTTTCTTTTGTGTGGTGAGGGTGGTGAAACACTGGAGCAGATTTCCCACAGAGCTTGTGGAGTTGCCATCTATGGAGATATTCAAAATCTGACTGGACATGGTCCTGGGCAACCTGCTCTGGCTGACCTGAGCAAGGGGCTTGGACCTGATGATCTCAAGCAGTGCCTGCCAACCCTCCACCCTTCCGTGTTCTGTGATCTCTTAGCTCTTCAATTGCACCCATTTGGGCTTTTTTGTTTGGTTTGTTGGTTTTTTTTTTTTAATGCTCTTTCAATTTTGGAACATCTGGAGACATACTGATCACTTCACAAAAAACGTAGTGTGTTGGTTGCAGGTCTGAAGCAACTTTTTATTTGGTTTTTTTTCGAATATATTTCATGGGCTTTAAAACTAGGACGTTTCACTTTTTTTCTGCAGTTTGGTTCCATTCTTGCATGTGTATTTAGTCATACAGAGTGCTAAAAGAGTCTGTATAAATAACTCTGTATTAAATAATACAGAATTTAAAATTGATAACTAATTTAAAATCAATAACAAATATGGTAATAGAGCAAATGTATAACATCCTCTAACCCCGTCTTTCAGTCATGGCCTGTATATGAAGAAGTATACAACAAAATGCTTGAGCTTGCAGCGTTTTTAGACCTGCCTCGTTTTCCAGATATTACAGACAGCTGCTTTCTTCATCCAGACATGTTGTGCATGAAGTACTTGATGGAAGCTAATTTACCTGGTAAATATTTTCCCAAACCTGAACTGATAAAATTTTTCTTTGGTTTATTAAACTCTAGCAAAAAAACTTGAATTACTACTTTCAAAGTGCCTACTCTCTTCCTTCTAATTTATACCCATTTAAGCTTGAACTGAAAAATAATTTCTATACAAAGCACCTTCATCAAACATTTAGAGGCTGTATTATAGCCCCAGATATGCAGGGACACTCTGGTGCTGGCTCTCTAAGGCTGTGGAGTGGATACTTCATTTCAAATCTTTCAGTATCCATGTGAACTAAGAGGCACTAGTTGAAGTCACTCGATTTATTAACTTTAGCTAAATGATTCATGAAGTTGGGACCTGATTGCTTAGCACTGGATTGTCATATATAATAGTGAATATGTATTCTATAATATTGCATATTAGCGTTAATTTTAGTATTAACAAGTGATGCTGTGTGACAAACTAGCTGCTGTCTCATTTGATTTCCAATTTAGTTTTGAAATCGTATATTGCATAAATATTTAATATTTTTGTTTATCCTAAAATTTAAGTTTTGAATATTGAATTGCCAAAGAAAGACCAATAAGTCCTAGTATGTGAACTGTTTGTTGGGCTACCATACTTCCTATCACATACCACTGTCACTAATGATGAGTTATACAGACAAATAGCCTGTAAATTTTTTTTTTTTTTTCCTCAAAGCATTCCAACAATTAATAGTTTGGGGTTTTTTATTGTCTTATTTTGCAGTTAGTTATGTTGAATAAAGCTACTTGGCTTTTCTGTGTACTCACAGTTGAACGAAGAGAAGACAAACAACAGATTTAGGGCTAAAATTCCAGAGCAGAAATTCTGATTTTGTAAATTTTACACCAGTGTTGTGCTAGAGCCTATAGAGGATCGCATTATGTTTCAGATTTTGAAGTATCAATTGAATCAAAGCAGCAGCTAGAAATTTGGCATTTTCAGATTTATTACAGAGAAATACAAAGCTAAGTACTCTTTGAAAGTTACTGTAAAAAGAAGAATATATTGTCCTTTACTTTTTCCTTGCAACTAAACTTTTTATCTTGTAGAAGCATTGTTTTACAATTTGAAAAAGGACTACTGTTGTTATCTAACAACTCCTAAAAAATAAATTAAGCAATGAATTGGCAGTGCCTCTTAGGACATTATTATAATAATAATAATAATGAAAAGGCCATTTTAAGGCTCTGAAATAAAAGAAAATATAAGGACAGTATTTATAAGAAAATTTGGTTTCCAGATTTTGTTTAACTTTTACTGTTATGTATGAGAGGATTAAAAATGAGTTCCTACTGAACTCTTTGTAAGCAGCAAGAGAGTATAAAGTATAGCCGGATTAAGGTTGTACTTAGTCATACATTGCTAACCTTTGTGGAATCTGATGGTGATGTAATCAACTCCTGCATTTCTTGCTGAACAGGAAAGGTGAGAAATTTGGGGGATTTGTATCTGTGAAAAATAAGCATAGAGTAATAAGAGACTGTATAGATATCATACTGCTGCTTTTGAAGCTGTAGTTGTATCTTTTTGTACGCTATAACCCGGCTTTATAGTGTAATGCCAGTTTTTAAACCTAGGCTGAGATTGTCTGTACCTCAGCCGGGTTTTGTCGGGGTAGCAGCGAGCGTTGCCCTGCAATGCTGGGCTGCTCTTCATACCCAACTAACTTCTTTAAAACTAGCCCCCGTTCCTCTTTGCAGTATTGAATCTGTCCTTGCATGGGTGTTTAGCCAACATGCAGGAAAAAAGTTTGTGACAAGTTTTTGGCTTTCGGTGTTTTTTGAAACTATATTTATGTAGATTTAAGAGGCTTTCCCACAACAACATTCAGGATGTTCTAACAACATCATTCGAGTAACATCAAAACACTATTAAAAATGTAATTTTTTTTTTCTCTCTATGTGAATATATAATAAATCACGACTGTTTTCCATGTAAACACAGTGAAGGTTGCCTAATATTTTTAAAAATATCCCAAAATACTTTTCAGCCTGAAAAAAATTGCTGTCTGATGGTCCTGAAAGATATAAGCATTGTTTTCCTCAAATGACCAACATATTTGCACTGTAAAAGTACTTCTAGCTTGTCTCAACATACTAATCTTATATTTTTATTTACATTAATCAGATGAATTGCATAATTGGACTTGTCGAGTGGTAAAAAAGATCTGTATTGGAGAAGCGGATTTCCTGACTCTTGTGCCTGGAAATAAGTCAACAAGAAACGTGAAATACGATGTTCTTGCTGCAGCGGTTATTGTAGTTGTGCTCAAATTGTTGTTTTTATTAGATGATCACTATGAATGGTAAGTGTACAGGCAAATCTGCATGAAAGCCCGAATTTCAATAGTGCAAACGACTGTCTTGGCTTATTCTTTCTTTAGTAATGTTAAATTTATAGTATTTGAATTTTGATTAAGTTCAGTAGCATAAAACATACACTGAAGGCATTTTAGACACTAAATATTACTTCTTTTTAAAAATCATCAGTTTGAATCTGAAACTTGGAATAAAATTAGGGTGTAATTTTTGTCGGTTGTATTTGAACTTCATGTGAAAAGTGCAGTATTTGGATCTACAAAATAGCCTGATTTTTTTTTTTTTTTCAGGTTACTTTCAGACTTTGCTGAAGAAAGAAATAAAAATAACAAAGAAGGTACATAAATATTCTAGTAGAAGCAGTCTTATGATTTTGTAAATGAAATAACTTTGTAATCAGGCTTAGAAAGACTTATTGATCATTAAAATGTGTTTTTCTCATTTATTCATTTAGGGCAAATCTGTATTCAAAGAAAACAGTAGATCTTGTTCATGTAAAATCGTCTCAGTTTACCTGCATAATTCTTATTATACTGGATAGGGGAATTTGGTACACATTTCGCTAGGTACTTTCTGCTTCTCCTTGTGCATGTTTGCCTCTTGTTTTAGAATTTTATGCATGGTAGGTGAAGATGAATGGATATGCAGTAAAGAGGGAACGCACTTTGATCGTAAATAGAAGATACTTATTAGGGGCATCAAACCACGTTTATGATAAAATCCAAACTTGTTTAGTCTTGTTAAATAAAATGTCTTAGTGTGTAACATATTTCAGATGTAATCTGTTTTCTTAGTCCAAATAATCCTGAGAGAGTGTGGAAAAGCTAGCAGCAATTAAGATAGAGAAGATAATGGTGTGAACATGGTTCTTTGAGGGCAGAAAGACCAAATCAAAGATTAGAAATCTTCAGGAAGATGTTCCATGGCTTGATCCAGATCACAGTTGAAGATAAGATGAAAGATGTGTTACAGTGGTTTATCTTTTAAGCCTTCCATCCAGTTTTGGGTCCATTTTGACCCTTCTGTTACTTTTTAAAAATTTAAGTCAATAATAAAATCGGTGTTAGCCATGCATGAGCACAATTACTGCTGTATCTAGAGATAGTCATCACTGTTAACTAAAACCGGTAATTCTCATTTTCAAGTGGATACACAAACTTATTTTGGATCTTTTTTTTTTCCTTTTCGTTTCCCTTGAAAACTTGAAATACGTATAGTGACAAGAGTAGAAGTTGTGCAACTGCTTACAAGCTGAGGCTCAAAGCCATTAATGTTTTAATGGGGTTTCTCCCTTATTAACAAGTCTCAATGCCCTTGGGAATTAACAGCTCATTTTTTGCCCACTTCTTTTACTTCAAAATCTGCTGGTGCAAGATGATCTATATGCTATGTTACGTTGTCCCTATCCTTAAAATATTGGGGTGATGGTGAGCAGCTGCGCAGAGGAGCTGATGTGAGAATTTCTGTTAGAGCACTGATTACTGCCAGAGCTCAAAACTGCCTCTGGCATTTTCCCAAAGTTAGCATGCTGAAATGAATAATGGTTAATAGAGAGTTTTAAAGATCCAATTTATGTTGACTCCATTCTCAATTTAACTATCCTTTCTCTAGTCTTTTTTTTTCAATGAAAAAAATCGTATTTCAGCTCCTACAGTTTTTCAAGAGACTGGAAGCTGTAGTTGTAGTTACCTAGTGTGTTTGTGTGTGTATGTTCTATGAACTGCACACACACACAATACTGTTTATGTTCAAATGAAACATGTGTCTGAGGTGTATACATGTATGTGTGTATCACAGAGCTGTGTATTTTCCAGTCAGCTCAGCTATACGAACATCAGGCTAGCAGTACTGGCCAGGGAAATGGTTATTATAGTGTAGCATCATGTCTCTGACAATGGTTTTGCTTGTGACAGATGATTAATAATTCATAGGAAATTTAATAAAAATTTCTGCCCCTCCCCTGCCCTCCCAGCAGTTTAGGAGTACTTACTTAAACCTCTGGGTTTAAGGAGTTCGTAAAAGAAGTTGTATCCACACCTTTGAATTTTAAGAACTACTGAAGGGTCTTTCTTCCCTTCATTTGTCTGTTGCTTTTTGAGTCCCTCTATATTTCTAGCATCTAAAACATCCTGTGGCAGGATAACTTGAATAGCAAAAATGCAGATAATACAAAACTTATATAAGCTTGATTATAAGAACAGTATATTCACCTTCAAAACAGTTTAAACAGCTAGCTGGCAAAGCTAAGCATGATGCAAGCATCACATGCAGTGCAGCTGGGGTGATGGGGAAATGCAAAGCCTGGTTAATTCACAATGCAGATAATCCACCCACGGGTAATGAGAGTTGATTATATTTTAAATATATAAATCTACACCATAGTTCTGTTTGGAATTCTTATACTTACTATACCCAGTTGTTCTACTTCAGTCCTGTGCCTCTTTGGAGCATCGATGATAAACGGGCTGCTAGAATGCCATATGCCTTAAAGTTTTTGCATGTGCTGGTAAATATTTGTTCACATATCTATGAGTGAAGTTCCTGTGCTCAAAAACATGGGAGGCTGATATGAAGTGAATACAATTATCTAGTCCATCCTTCCTGCCCTGTAACATTTCATGGATAGTAGGATAGACAGTGGAGAGTTGATGAAACTATTTGAAATCTTAGATCTGAGCTTGTTTAGATCTTATTTGTTTAAACCTAAGCTTGATATATAGTTTCATTAATTCCTTGAAGTCAACTTTCAAACAGATGAAGGCCACTTCACACTGTGGAGATCTAGTTCATTTGGTAGAGGGGGGATAGTTTCTAGGCTTAACTTTCAGAAAGGAGGGAAAAGGGTTGAATTGTGCTAAATCTATGAAACCTATTCTAAGCTAAGGAGCTTCTTTGCACTTCTTATGACACACTGTTCTTTCACTGTATTTCTGCATTTCTCTTTTTTACAGAATTGTTAGATCAAGTATGTCTTCTTAAATCACATAGAATTCAGGATAGGTTTGCATACAGGTGGAACACGCAGGGTCTAACTGCGTGGAGACCACCTTCTGCGTATTACATGTTTCTTTGACTTCTTTCCAACCTAAAATGTGAATGTTTTATTCAGGTGGTTCGTATTTTGAGTTCAAAAAGTGGTACAAGGTTATAAAATGTTCCTTGGATGTGGAGCAAAAGAGATTGGATGAAGAAAAAGCCAAGTAAGAGGTCTTCAAGTACTTTATCTTTTTTAAGGTAGACAGTTTTACGTGAAATGCTGGCCCCCACAGAAATTAAAAAGGTTAGGAATTTGCTCCACATTTCCATCCAGCAAGCTTGGGTGAATAGAGCGATTAAATCCCTATCTTAATTTTCTATTTACACTTATAATGTTTATCCAGCATATTAATTAAATGCCCACTTTCTGTGACAAGTAGCTTATCCAACTGAACAATTAACTGATTACAGTAAATCTAGGCTTACATGCCCCAGTTGGCCTACTCTGAAAAAAGACTTCCTAGATGTGTTGGGGGGCAGTGGCTTTTAACAGCACTAACCATTAGATTATTTTGATTTCATTTTAATAGCTCTAGCGGTATTTGTAAGAAATTACTATTTTTTTGCTTGTTTGTTCCAGCTTTCTTTTTCCTAACAATTCTTATGTCTCTTACTGGTAGGTATCTGTGGAGATGTGAAAAGCCACTGTTTTATTCAGCCAAGAAGAAATCTAAAGTTCTTAAGAGAAGACGTGAGTAAACTTTGCCTCTTCCCAGCAATGCAGAAATCTACTCCAACTTTTCCCATGATAGAAAATCTGCAGCACTGACTGTGATAACATTTACATCTTAAAATACTTTCTCTTCTTTCTTTCATCTCTGGTACAATTAATGTAGTACTATTTTACAACCTGTGGCTGGAATTCTTCAGACAGACATTTTCCTCATGCCTAACTGAAACAGCCTTTGCCAATCTTCCTAATGACCTACTGAGCCTCATCTCAGAATGAGTACTCTGTCCTCATCTTCACTAGTGTGTCAGCTGCCTTTACATAACTGTGATCTTCGTGAATTGTTGGTCTTCCATAGCTTTCCTGTCCCTTTTCTCCTTTACTTCCTCATATCCTTTGGTATGGATATCCCAGTATATCCTTTGGTAGACCTTGCATGTCCCTCTTCTCTCCCACTCCTTCTTGCAGTCTTCTACAGAAAGTGAGGAAGGCTTGTCTGAACGTGATTTTATTTGAATAGCTAGCTGTACGTGCAGAATGCAGGTACATCTACTTTATTTTAGTAGCTTTAGAAGTACTTATAAGAAATTACTGGGTTTTACATTGTCCTAAAAGCAGACAAACAAAACAACAAAACCCCCACTTATCTGTGGAAATACGGAAAACCAGAATTTTATTCAACCAAATTAGATCTGAAGTTCTTTATTCTACATTTAATGGTATCTAGTAACCAGCAGATATTTGGAGAGAGATGTTAAGTGTGGCAAGTGATATTTTCCCCTTTATATACTCTTCCAGTTTCTGGAAGTGACTGGTTCAGGGACTTCTAAACAAGTTGTATAATCCTGTTTGGTTTGTATAACTCATGTTGGATTTCTCTTTCAAGAATGCAATTGGGGTTTTTTGAATGTTCTTACTCTTCAAAATTCAGTAGGGGTGATCCTGCAGTCAAGTCATGTTCCATGGAAAAGCATGTTTAGGTTTATTTATTTAATCATTTGCTCAGGTGCCCTTTAGTTCCTGCGTTTATAAGAAAAAGTGAATAATGATTCATTGTTCATTTCTGTGGCACTCTAGATTCCTCTTCTGGCTCTGCTTCTCTTCGAAGAACCACTTAGGTTATGGAGCTTTACCACTGGCTGTTGCAAGCAGGAATATCACATAATGCCATTGTAACGGGGCAAGATTCATCTTAAAACAAATTTAAAATAGTAGAGACAAAGAGTGCTCTAGAACACTTACGTGCCAGATACAGGTTTTCAGAAACCTTCCTCAGCCTTTGTTTTTGATGGTGGATTTTAGTGTCCTCTTGAAAGATAAGTTTCCCAGTCCTTGGATTACTTTAGGATGTCTCTTCTGCTTTTTTTCCAGTTTATGAATGAGTTTATTCAGATACAGGTCATAAAAAGAAGTTGAAGCTCCAACAATTGGTTTTTAACCTGCTTTTTATCCTAGGGAGACAAGGCTTAGGTGGTCATATTGTGTGTGCTGATCCATCATCATACCTTCTTTCCCTTCTCAGCCTCAGTAACTTTCGACATTCTTTCACTAGCAGTGGGGGAAGGTGGAGTGTTTTTTTTGTTGTTTTTTTTGCCAGTTGAAATTTGCCCTATGAAAAGCTTAACCTTAAATCCACATGTGTATGAAACCAGGCTTCCTTAATTCTGATACACAGGAAACTGCTCAAAAAAATCTTAACCAGTCTGAGTGATAGCATATGACCAGGTAAATATAGTGAAAGGCATCCTGGCACGTGTTTTGTATCAGAATGAAAATACCAGCAGTATCAAATGGATTTTACAGATTTTACTTGGGGAATGATTTTGGAGTACCCCAGTATTAATATCATTAGGTATGAAAGACATGGCATTTTGAATTGTCTTTCAAAGTCTTTTCCTAAAACATGTGACAGTTGAATTTTAAATGGAATGGGGGAGAGAACGTACAGACCTTCAAGGTTTCCCAGTATTCCACCCAGAGGTTTAAAGAAAAAAGAAATTAAAAAAAAAAACGCACAAATACCCTATTTTCTTCCTGTATTAATCATCTCTAAACAGTATTCTAATACTTAATGCTTGGTTTTTTTTGTTTCTATTTGTACAGAAATGGTTGTGAACTTACAAAATCAGTTTGGCAAGCTGTCTGGTTCAGCGCAACCTGCTGAAAAGCCAAATCCTTCAAGTTTTCAGCTAAGTTGGTCTGAAGAAAACACAGATGGGAGTTGTTTTTACGGGCATAGCCTGAAGGGAATTTTGCAAGAAAAATGTGGTTTACTTACAGCCATGAACCCTGACTATTGGCTGTGTACAGTTAAACTATGTACTGAGAAGTAAGTATTCAAATTTTTGTTAAAAACATTTTGGAAAGTTCTCCTGAAAGTAAAGTGCCATATATGTATTTTTACAAATGACAACTATGGGGTGTGTACACAGCTATGTATTCACATATAGTTAAAATCATTTGTAGAAAGGGGCGTGTGCAGAATCGTTAGTCTTGGATTGGGAGTAGACAAATTGTAATATGAAGAGTGATCAAAGTGAGCTTTTGAGAAGAGAGGAGATGAGACAAAATCAACAACTAGAGTCACATGGCAAGAGTAGCAGCTAGATACAAATACTCACTTCACTTCCTTCTTCATAGTATTTTACAAAAAGCTTGTGCCACAGCTCTCCAGAGAATGGGAAAACAGTTCCATTCTTCTCTCCCCTGGACCCCAAAAAAGCATAGGAAATTAATTTTTTAAATCACTGTCCTTCTTTTGTGGTGGCCTTAATCAAAATTAAAGTTAAAATTAGCAGTTGGAGTTCAAATAAGCAGGCAATTAATGCCTCCAGAACATATTTTTAAAAGAATAATTACGAATTAAAAGGACTCTCACTATTTCATCTAAGTATATCGGCAATCAACAGTTGTATTTTTTGCAAGCAGAAAAGTAAAAGAAGAAATTTCTTCTACTGGAAAAGTAAAAGAAGAAATACGGGAAAAGAAAACATTTTGTGCTGTTAAGGAAGTTTAATGTCTGTCTTTACTAGAGAACTGTTCCCAAATCCTGACTTTGCAAGTGAAAAGGAATTTTTTTTTTTCAATTAAGGGTATATCAAAACAGTCATGCCATTTGTTAGTAAAATTATTTTCTGTAAAGGACCTAAGTAGCAAGGAGAATGATAGCCCAGCTAATCCAGCCTTGTACAAAGTTACAGAGATATTTCAGTATCTGCCTGGTTTGTGTCAAACTTCCCACTCTTCCTTTAGTACCTTCTTCTCTTGCATCAAATTCTGCAAAAATTTATGAGTTTTCTATTTGGTGAGTGCTGGCAGAGAACCGTGGCCAGAGGCAGAGAGCAAAAGCCCTGCTGAGGGTGCGTAAGAGTTCAGCAGTATTTACTCCAAGGACGGGATGCCATCCAGACGGACCTGGA